AAAGTTCATCAACAGGAAAAAGAATAAACTGTGATCTATTCCTGCCATATGACACACCAGCTAAAATCAACAAAGTGACTGTATATACTGACATGAAAAATAATCGAGACATATTGTTACAAAAAGGAACAGTCTGTGGAATCATATAGTATAACTATAAAAATTAAGATATCTGTATACTTATATACATGCAAAACAACAGCCTGGAGTCATGGACGTCAAAATAACATCAGTTTCTACCTCTTGGGAGAGGATGGAGATGTGGAAGACAAACAGAAAACAAGTTGGATGGCAAATAACTTGTTAGATTTTTATTATATTGTAATGCTTTACATGAAAAAAATATATTCATGTATTGTGTAACTTAAATTGTTTTAAAAATTAATATGCAATTTTTAACTATTTCAAACCATGTAATACACAAAGTAAAAAGTGATATTTCCCCATTTATCCTCTATAATTTATCCTTTTTTCTTTGTTTAGACATTTTAGTTGTTTTTGGTTTTAAATTTGTTATTACAAACAATATTGAAGAGAAAATTCTTGTTTGCTTTTTTGTTTTTCCCACTTATGTTATTTTTGTAGTATAGAGTCATTGAACTGTGGTCATGTGATATAATCACTTTAAAAATGAACAGATGCCATCAAATTGCTTCCAAAAAAGAACATACTAACACTTTATAGAACATTATTTCTATGATAACTCCCTACTATACATTATCATGGTTGCAATAAAACAGCAGCACCCAGGCTCTACTGATTTGGCCTCAAGCACAGACCAGATCTGTCTTCATTTCCTACCCTTTGTGTATTGACCATTGGTAGAATAAGTACAATGTCTGGCCAGATTATCCAATCAAAGAAGGGGGCTGGAATGGGGAGGAAGAGGCTGGCAGAAGCTTAGCTATGCAGAAACTATGGAACTGAGACAAACTAATCACCCATGGGCTTATGTAACCCACAGATATGTTTACTTTGGCACATATAATGCTGGGTACACAGTGTTTAAAAAAACAAACAAACTTGAATTAGTGCTAAATGTTAAGGGAGTAGTGCCCAATCCCCACTCATGTTTACTTTCACGTACTTCTCCATGTGCAGAATCATCACTTCATAGAACATTCTTAACATTCCTTTACTCCCTCACTCACACCTTCCCTGGGAGGTAGAGGGGTTTCTTCCCTTCCTTTTTGTAGTTAGCTCTCCAGAGATTGTTTCTGCCTACAACTGGGTGGCAATTCTAATTCTGGAGTTTAATATGAGAAAGACAAGTTGCCCCCAGGAAAGTCTCATTCTGGAACAGAAAGTAGTATTTTGAAATCATTCTATTTTTCTTCTTGTCTCCTAACTGATTCAGGGGCCAGGCATGGTGATGCACAACTGTGATTCCAACACTTGGAAGGCACAGGCAGGAAGATCGTGAGTTCAAGACCAACCTGGGCTACATAGCAAGAGATCCTGTCTCAAAAAAAAAAACTGAAGATGGAAAGAAGTATACTATTTGTTGAGCTTCCTTAAGCTCAACATCAATGTTTTAAAAATATTGAGATTTCAAAATTGAGAGCTTTTTTCACATCATAATATTTTTGATTTAAAAAAAACAGGAAGATTTGGCTCCTCTGAGCCCTTGTATCTGAATGATGACAATGGATGGAGCTGTGGTGTAGCTTCCCTTTTGGGCATGTACTATCCAACTTATCAATCTCATACCTATTTCATATTGTTTTTCTGATACTTAGAATGAGAGTCCACTGACATTCAGCATCACATAATGAAAGAATTGTAAGACACAGAATAATCCCCTACCAATCTAACCACAAGGTTCCTAACAAGGAAAAGATGGAGGCATGAAGTTCAGCGAGAGAAGGAATCAAAAGATCAGAGATCTGAAGATGCTATACTGCTGGCCTTCAAGATGCAGGAAGGAATCACCTGCTAAGGAATGCAAGCGGCCTGTAGAAACTAGAAAAGGCAAAAACAAGGATTCTCCCCTAAAACCTCAAAAAGGAATGCAGCCCTACCCATACCAGTAAAACCATTTGGACTTCTCACCTCCAGAACTGTAAGTAAGTAAATGTGTGTTTTAGGCCACTAGGCAATAGGAAACTAACACAAAAGTGAAGGAGAAAGTCAAACATTCCTTATATCCATATCTCTATTATAAGAAAACACAAACTAGATCAAGAAGGCTATATAGTTCAATAATGTGAGACCATTTGTGAAACAGTAGTGGACATTGTTGTTTACCATGTCCTATACTCACTTCACCTTTCATTAAAAGTATTCTGATTTTTGTTGAAATATACAACCCTCTCCCATATGTCCAATGTACTTTCAAGAAAATTAACCTTTCTCCGGTCTAATTCTATCCTCTCTACAATGAATCATTCAGGATTCCAAATTTAAGAGTCAATGTACTGAATTTTCTAGGTCATGAGATTGACATTATTGGGCATGTGATCTAATTTTGACCAAGACATCAAATTTCCTGACCTGGATAGGGAGAGCTTTGAACAAATTTTCCTATATGGTCATCATCTTTTAGGAATCCCAGCATGAGGGTGGTTGCCCATATTTTACCTCCTATATGGAACACACATATGATATCAGTGGTGCTCCAAGTGTCTACGCAGAGTATTAGCTTTATTATCCCTGAGATCCTTAGAAACCATTTTTGGAAAGAGACATTCTTATGAAACAATTAGATATTTCTAGAGAGGCCTAGACTGTTGATATATCACACATATCCAAGGGTGACGTGGGGTGACACTAAGTAGGACCACAATGAGAACTACAGGTTTGAAATTAGACAAGGTGGGCTACAATCTCCTGGACCACTGAGGTTGAAACATACTGATAGATGACTATCTAAATGTTGTGAGGGATGAATGTTTAAGATCCTGGCAAAGAGAATTTCGTGAATGTGCGGTTAACTTCAAAATTACTCAACATTGGACTTATAACCTTCTATACCCCCAAACATAGCTCCAGCTTCTGGATTATAAAACAAATTCACCTTGCACAGATTCTAGCATGTGGGGTGAACTTTTCAGTTAATCTCTCAAAATTTATTTTGGTATATGCTATAAGAAAGACCTAATTTCTTTGCCATAAAAAGTCACTGATTTTTTCACACTTTTTAATAATTGTTATAAAAAATGGACAACTATTTTTGCTCAAACTTTGAAAATATAATCCTAAACATCCTAAGATTACTTTAAAAATATAATATGAATGCAGGTAGTGAGAATACATTTAATGACTCATAATTAGATAACATCCAACTTGGGAAGAAGAGCAGAAAAGTGCTTTTCTCTAGAGAAAATGTAATGAGATATTGCCATCATTTAGGCAATATACTGGTACTTTACCAACATAAAATTATATCTTTACAAAAGAATCCAAGTTAGTACTTACATTTGAATACCCTAATTTTATATACTTAAAATCCTTAATTAAAAAAACACAGTAACAACTCAATTGCAAGTTGACATATAGAACAAAATTCCTTGCCAAAAATAATCATTAAAAGCTAGTAATTACAAAATATATTTCATGCTGACTTTTAAAAATGAAACTGTGTTAAAAATCATAAAATAGAAGCTTATCAATCATGTTATAATGGTGAATACTGGATTTGGGTTGCTATTCTTTACTTTCTGAGACAGGATCTCACTATGTATTCCAGGCTAGCCTTGAACTACAGCCCAGAGCAGTCTGACCTCCAACTCAAGATCCTCCTGCCTTAGTATCTTATGAGTTGCTATTTTAGTGGTATTTGTTCTGCAATAATATATTCATTTGTTCCCATATTCAGTTTTCTTCACCATTCTTCCCACTGAGAATTTCTTAGAGAAGGCAGGCATGATGGTACACACCTGTAATCCCAGCACTCTGGAGGTCGAGGCAGGAGAATTGTGAGTTCAAAACCAGCCTGGCCTATATAGCAAGCCCCTGTCTCAAAAAAGGAAAAAAAAAGAATTATTTTAGAGTAAACACAATGCCATTTAACTATGGAATGATCAACCAGAAGCAAAAGTATAGCACAGAAAGATAATCTTTATTATATTTAAACTAGAAACAGAGCAGATAGCAAGCTCACGAGGTATGATTTGATTTTTTTAAAAACCAGGCTTCAACAATAATAATCAAAAACAAGCCTTAACTGCTCATATATTTTGGTCACTATTCAGGGGCACAAAAGCCAGCAGCATAAAGTAACATAAAGGTAACAACTGAGAGTTTTTAATGTGCCAAAACCACATTAAGCTCTACCCTTGCAACTTCCTCATCTTCTCCTTAAACATTGAACAATTATTGTTATTCGGCAAAATATCACCCATACATAAAGTATTCCTACAAGAATACTGCCTTAATATTGTCAATAGTAATACTAACCTTTTCTTGTCCCTAAAAATTCAATGAATTCCAGTCTTGTACATGTATTGGTATCCATGGTAATATACAAAATTGATTTTGTTTTCAAGGTTAAATAGCAGATTGACTTCGCATTTGGTGGTCAGCTGTTTACCCTAATTTTTTAGCTTTTATTTTCTTAATAAATTTAACTATATTTCATAAGCCCTGAGATATTAGATAACCTACTAATGATTGTATACTTTTAATTTATACTTTACTCCATTCAGTTTGAACCCCACACAATAAGTATTTTAAATTATTTACAGATGATTGTAACTAAAGCAATGGTAAAATTTACCATTTGTAGTTAAGACTACTAATAAGGCCTTTAACCAAGAGTTGCATGTTTTAAGCAGTTTAACTAGCTATAAGCAACTCTTAAAATTACATCCATAATTCTGTCACCAGTAAGTGCTTTTCATTTTGATTACTTCTACATGGATAACCAGGATCACTTTTTTCTTCTCTTATAACCAACTCATTTTTTCTTCTCCAAACATAAACCCTACTTTTCCAACTGAACAGCTGCCAAAAGAACCTTAGCATTTGAACAATATGTTGATAACTACAGTGCTTAGCAGACAAATATGCTCACAACAGACATTCAATCAATGTCTGTGCCACACAGAAGGAGTGGATTGTAAGGCAGTTGTCTGAGTCATGTTTATCAAACACTGCAAGTAATTTTGCTTAACCAGGAAGTCTGGATTATTGGATTTAATTCAACCTCAATTACAAATACAAGAAATTGAATTTTTTAAAAAAATGAATTTAAATTTACCAGTTCTCAGAAGTAAACAAAAGTACTTTCCATTAAGTATTATATACAACTAAATGAAGGGAAGAAAAAAAATTAAGAGGTATGAACTTATTCATATTTTTCTCCACATTTATACTTGCAGCTTTTTTGTTCACATATTTATATCCCTGTTAAACTCCCTAGCGGAAAGATAATTTTATTATTGAATGATTTTTCCCATCCCCTTAGGGGCATAATGATGTTAGTGAAAAGCTGGTGTAAATATAAGGTTATATTTTTAATGTCATGCCATATTTCTGCATTTATTTTTTGCTAACATTCAATTTTTCCTATTTAAATGCTGCTGTATAGGATAGTAACTAATTTGCCAAATTGCTTATAATAATTCAGTTTTTGTTGATAGCTTGGAAGCATATTGCACACTTGTCATTTAGCACATTAATAATTAACTATTACTCTTTTTAGAAAGGATACACTGACAAATTCTTAAGTTACTGGCTTTAGCCCAACATTTTTAGTCAGTTACAGAACAATTGCAATGCCAAAAACATTAACAATGCAGTTCATGGTTCGGTTTTCCCATCTTACAGTGCAGGTTCCTGAAAACACACAAGAAAAGGACTTTGAAATATCAGCAAAACATTGAAATTGTCAAGGGAATACACACACACACATGCACACACACACACTTCATGGATTTTAATGTAATTTATTCCTTCAACCTGTTATAGCTTCACATTTCATTCTGGTCTGACATCACACTTGTAACTAGGTACAAAGCAATTCTATTGATAGTCTTTTTAAAATTTAATGAAACAGGCATTTGATAAAAAGTGTACTTTTTTTTTGCTAGAACTTTGATTCTGTGTGAATTGACTTAAGGTCTCTTACCATCAGAAGTGGTATCCCAAAAACATGAGCTGGCTGTGTGAAAGCCGTAGGCACTCCTCTGGACCACTGCACAGGTCACTGCGAATAAAGTCACAGAATGAGGATACTTATAGACAAAAGGAAAGAGCCAAGATGGAAGTGTTTCTCTTTGGAGCTCTAAAAAAGTGGAAAAAATTAACAAAACAATTCAGCTAGTGGACTGAAAAAACCTCTCTTATCGTGATTATCTACCATATCAGGATGTTAACACCACACGATCCAGTCAGTTTGAGGATCACTATCATAACCATTGGTTATTGTATTACAGGAAAATTCACTTTTTCAGTTAGTGTGTGGAACTTCAGAGGCATGGGATTACTGACGGGATTACTGAGATTGAGGGGTCTCAGTGGAAAGAGAGAACTGATAAAAACATAAGGGATGATGCTACTAAGGGCAAGTAGCTCAAACTGCTTTTGAGTAGTGAAACAGCTCCATCTTTTAGGAATTCTCATATATTATCTCTAAGAAGTCCTTCTTAGCCTATTAGTATCCAACTGTAGTACCCATCATTCATATATATTCTCAAAATTCAGAGAAAATCATAAGGACAAAGATGTGTGAGCTAGTAAGGCAGGAAACTGATACTTACCAATGTATTTGTAAGCTTTCCCCAGCTTAACCAAATGTGTTAGGGACTGCTCTACTATGCTCGCAGTCCACTGGTTGATGTTATTCTGATTGTAGTCCTCGCCTCCTAAGACCCCATCTACACACTAGAAGGGAAGAGGACAGCTCATTAGCCAAAATGAACAAATTTTACACAGATTTTAACAAGAATGTATTCAATACATTCATACCCCAATAAGGCATAACAGTAAATATATACCTGGTAAATATTTATTATGTATCGTCTCTAATTGTTTAAGATTCAAAGCCTTTCTACATATATTATCTCACTCTATGAAGTACTGTGGGTTATATGAAGATGAGTATGCCACAGTCTCTATAGTGAAGAACTTAATTTGGGATGCTAATAAAAGAACTCTAATATTTATAACACAAGAATGACTAATCATAACATGCTAAGTTATGTCATAAAAGGATTTCAAGGCAGGGAGGGGATAAGAAGAGGGTGATATTAATTGGTTAAAGAGTGGCTTTGAAACAGCTGGAACTTGAAACAGGGCTCAGATACTGGAAACAAAGGATGGAACTAATTTAAAAACATAATTCTGGTGTGTAATAATTATATTCTCATTCATGCTATGTAATTGTTTAACTATAAAACCACTAGCACACCTACCAACAAAGATGCTCTGTAAAAACAATGTCAAATAATCTCCATATAGTGCTTACTTGCATCCACTTTGGACACCCAATTAAGAACACTGGCTTTAGTATCACAATCCTAGGGTTTAAGGCCAGCTCTGCAGCTATCCGCTGTATGACCTTCAGTAAGTGACTTACCATCTTCAAAGCCCTATTTTCCTGATCCTTCCAGGAGGGATAGCAGCACCATCTTAGGTTGTTGAGATGATAAAATCAGATAATGAATGCCAGTGCTTAAATACAGTGGCTGGCAGAGTAAGCACATAAATATTATTATCATTATTGCCACTGTTACATTACATTCAAGTGATAGAGCCTGCAAAATAAAGCACTCATTCATTTTTGGAATCTCGCATAATACACACACACATGCACACGCACACATGCATGTGTGTCTTCATCGACTACAACTGGATTATAGTGGAGATTTATAAGACACTAATTAATATACAATTTTTAGCTGGATATATAAAATCTTTACAAATAATAAAATGTAAAAAGAGAAGTAAGTAATTTAAAGGGGTTGATGGAAGTTTGTGACTCGCATTATTCTGGAAAGTTTAATAACACAGCAGAGAAGAGGCAAATAACCTAAGGGTCAGGAAAACAGGGTTTTACCATTACTAAACTGATGACCTTGACACAACCTTTTCCTTCTCTCCAGATGGCCTTTCTTTAATGGAAAAGTAAAAGTGACTCTGTGTGTGTGTGTGTGTGTGTGTGTGTGTGTGTTTTCTAGGTCATCAAATAGGACCACTCCAAGAGAGCACCACTGTCGATAGCCCTGCTAATTTCTATTAATTAACATTAGCCTAACTAATCAGCAACAACCAGGAGGCCTACTAGACAATGAGGTCCTCAAACAGCTCTGTATTACCAGGGCCAAACTCAGGACCTGGGCACTTAGCAGGTACTCAATAAAAGTTTGTTGTTGAAGAAATACTGCTTTTGATATACTCTCTGGACATTCTAAATCAAATAGACCTTAAACTAAGTTCCAAGTTAATTTCAGTTGTAACTCATTCTTACCTTGAGGAATTTTTTGGAGATGGAGAAGATATATTACTAATAATAAATAAAATGTGTGCATATTACTGGTAAATGAGTGGCTCTAAAAGTTCAGCAAGAAAAATATATTAGCATGGGAGCTTAGAAAAAAGAATCAAAGAAAAGAAAATGAGACAAGTAAGAGATAAGGCAAACATAAATCACTACTGAAATTATCTAATTGTCTTGGAAGGGCCGAAATTTTTTTTTGGTGGGACTGGGGTTTGAACTCAGGGCTTAGTGCTTGCAAAGCAGGCACTCTACCACTTGAGCCACACTTTCAGTCCATTTTGCTCGTTATTTTGGAGATGGGGGTTTCACAGACTATTTGCCTGGGCTGGCCTCCAACCACATTCTTCCCAATCTTGGCCTCCCAGGTAGCTAGGATTACAGACATGAGCAATGGGCTCCTGGTTTGAAATGTTTTAAAATAGTGCACACATGCTCAAGCTTTTCCAATGCCTCAATGAAAATGTTTCAATGGAAGAAAAAGAAGTTGACCATGGGAAGGAGAAGAAAATAGTAGCTCAAAGAAACCTGTAGCAAACCTGAGAATTCTTTCATCTCATCCTTTATATAAAAAAAAAAAACAAGTCAAGCTTGCTTTTGACTCCATATCAGTTTGTATCAAAAGTGCTTTCTGTTGAATTACTTTATAGCTTAAAATCTTCTCACAAATATTTAAGTAAAACCCATGCTCTAAAATGCATCCAGTAGCTTCTAGCACCACTGCCAAGTATATACAACCCAATTTAAGCAGCATAGTTCTTTTAATTTAATGAAACATCAAAGTAACACGTATACAAAGAGTGCCCCTCCTCACCCTTTCCCATGCCCAGTCTCACTCTCCAGGGAAAACACCTTCAGTGTACAGTTGTTTTGTGTTTATTTCTTCTCAGGATTACTCACATATCACCAAATAACATTCATATCACTATTTCTTGATTTATGAATTATAGACAACATCATAGAGTTCCTGCCATGATAGATGAAAATTTAGTTCACAAAGGCCACCTGCCTCCTACCCTTTTCTGTCAAGACACTGACTGAATTCACTATTTTTACTTCAATATATTTACCCTATTAGGAACATGTTTATTTTCCCTGACAGTTCCTTGCACAGAGGATTTTTCCTTAACATTTCTGGCCTCTTATTCCATTAATTATTCCTTCCTATGGAGACGTAATGAGTTACCTGGTTGGTGGGTGACAATCATTGTTCTACTATTCACATCTGGGAATGCCAATCTCCCAAACATCTTAGACTTGGGTTTTTTTTCTCCTTCCCTCTGCACCCAGACCAATGAAAGACATCAGCCTGGGTGTTTCTCTCTGTTGACTCAAATTTTCCCTTGGATGCCTCTTGCAAGGTCTAAACGCTAAAAAGGAGTTAGAAAAACAAGCTACAATAGACCTAGTTTTTATTCATAATAAAGGTGAAGTTTTGTTCTCCTTCTAATGTTCTTTTATCTTTTTGTCTGGCTCAGAACTTGGGTAAAGAAAATTAAAGGGAAAGAACACAGTAATTAAAAGGACCCCACCAAAGGCCCAGCATTCTTTCATATTCCATTGACCAATGACAGTCCCTCTTGACTTTTCACTTTGAAAATCAGATGATCACTCCTGCCCTTCTCAATACCTCCACCTCTTAATTTCCCTCATTTGTGTTTTTACATTGTCATGGTATTGAAAATATTTGCATTCTGTTTTTTTATAATTAATATTCCGGAGCTACATAGGTCTAACACTTAATTCTAAACTATTAAAATCTGGCAGGATTTTCAGGTGCCTGTCCAACTCAAACACTGAGTTGATCCTAGTTGTAGAAAGTCAGACCTGCATGAGCTCTGGGGTAGCTGATATCCTTAGAGACTTCAGGCAAGTGAGGCACTGTCTTGGAATGGAGTGATGACATGAATAGTGCCCAGAGGGTGGAGTTGATCCATCCCAGACTTAATTCAGTCAGGGCCTGCTAGAACATAGGCCTCAACAGCCATACCCACAATTCAAGCCTCCCTTCTGGGCCAGCTCAGGTGTTTTTCTAGGTCTTGGCAGAGTTAAAGCTGACTCAGGACTATGAAACCCACAGTGTAGTCTGTACTGATACCACTAGAATAATTGAAATTCCTCTGCCAGAATTGGTTTTCAACCAGAACTTTTCTATTTGCTTAACAAAGGACTAGATTTCATGTCACAAATAGTTTTTTGAATATTTTGGTTTACCATCATATCAGTGTCTAAAAGATGCTAAGTGATCTTTTTTTCCTGTTGTACTGGGCTACAATAAGCATACAGTGTCCAGGGGCAGACATTCCTAGGGTCTTTTATCCATTTGATATAATATACACATATATTATACATATACTTTACATTATAAAAAGTACATACACATGTACATACATATACTTTTATAGCATTAACATTGAAAATGATGGTTGGTCTACCTGAATAAAAATTCTTTTTTTTCAGGGCTGGCAGAGCAGCTCAAGTGATAGAGCACCTGCCTAGCAAGTGAAATGCCCTGAGTTCAAACCCCAGTACCACCAAAAAAAAAAAGTCAAAATCTTATTGTTTTAACACTAGGATTCTAACTTGTACTGAAAATCAAAATAAGGATTTAAAAAATTTCTATCATTGAAGTCAACTTTGAGATGAACATGTGCAACTCACCTCTTTGACAATATTGTGCACTTCATCAGCATTGAAGCCAGTCTAAAGGGAAAACACAAGATAAAACTGCTTTTAACTCAGGCTTCCTTTTATTTGTAGATATGACAATGCAGAGAATACCCTCAGCTGGCCTCGACAGGTGTTAGTGACCATACTGATGAGGGGCATCAGGTCTACTGACATGGCTAATCCCACCCCAAACAGTTCAAAATACAGAATGCTTTCCCTCCCTGACGGTTCATTAGTGAGCAGAGGCCAGGTAACTAAATCTCTTTTAAAGGCTTTATCCTAGTTATTCTGATGAACACCCAAGATTGACAATCACTGAATTGTAAACATCAGGAAATAAGCAGGAAGTAGTTGTAAAGATGTATGAGTTATCACTACACAGGAACCGGTTTCAGCAACATGAGAGAATAAAGTGGTCCATAAGAAAACACTTTATTACTTTCCATTTTATTATTAAGTTCTGCCAGGTGAAAATGTGTCTTTCCTGAATGAAAGATTACAACAATTCTTAATCATCTGAAATTAATAGCACTTTAATTCTATAAATTGGTCTGACAATAAATTGTCCTTTTTCTTTAGAGTAGCTTGTTAGAACCCTGAATTAACAGTAGCTATCAATGACATCCAAGTGTCCTCGAGTACAGGACTAGGTTATGTGATAAGATTGAAATCTACACCAAGACACTTTGGGTAATACGAGAATTGTTTTCATGGAGACATTTTTAGGTGCTTTATGGCAACAGAATTTTTGTAAAAACTACTATACAACTCAAAATTACTTCAAACAAGTAAATTCTAAAATTATGCTTTTGAGGGACAGATGTAAATTTTTAACTCATTTAATTACCACACAGAATTCTCCAACAACAAAGGAACAAAATAACTTGAAATTTATAAGTATTAAGGAAAGAGGCTTTACATTTTGGCCCTATTAAAAACTATCATTTTACATTAAAATCATGTCTTTATCTGCTGTCAAAGTTTGCCTAGGAATCAAAGGATGTTCTTTTCACTTCAATTTGGAAAGTCACCTCATAATCTGGATGGTCATGGCAACACATGTAATTTTCCTACTTTTAAAATATACATATTTAAGAAACACTGCAGGGAGGAGCTCCTGTGCCCTTGTTGGGGGATGTGCCTGAGGGGGAGCCTAATATGTCTTTTTTTGTGTGCCTCGAGTCCTTCTTTCTAACCCTCGAATTCTTAAGCATTGACCTGCATGCTACCTACAACACAGAAGTAACTCATTTAAATGTGTTTTTTACTTCTTAAGAATCCCATATCCTAAGATTCCCACTGGACCAGAAGGTCCTTCCAAGAACCTGCTCGTGCATCATTTTATGCTGCGGCTCCACCATAACTCCTACTTTTATTTCCCTGCACCATTCGCCGGTGGCTAGACAACTTGACAGTAAACATCTTTGTCTACTCTGCCTTTGCATGCTGTCACAGGTTATGCCGTGATCCAACAGGCCCCATCTTCCAACTGCTTACAGAGGGAAGGGCTGTAGTGTAACAGTCAGAGGACTGGGTTCAAATCAAGCATCTGTCTGTCACTCCTGCCAGTTTTATCTTGGAGCATATCACTTAGGTGCCATGAAAAGTCAGAGTGCCCACCAGTAAGAGGAAGATAACTGACATCCCCGGGCTCTGGTGAGGCTTAGGGAAGCCTGAGTCAGTGAGCAAGGGCTCATAATCCATAAAGCACCTCCTTCCAGCCCACCCAGGCGACAGCTCCTAGGAGCTGGAGCGGCTGTGCCACCACGGTCCCCAGCCGCGCGGCTGCAGCTCTTGAAGACGCCAAGGGGCGGAGGAAGCAGCTGGAAGACCCAGTTTCCAAGGCCTGCCCAGCAGACGGGCGGTGCCCGCCACCTCATGCCCATCCCAAAGACCCCAAGTCAGGTCTTTCCGCACCCCCATCCCCGCCGCGACCCCACCGTCTGACCCAAGCGCTTCGGGACCCCGGTGCCACCGCGACAATTAGCCCACCCTCAGGACCTCGGGGACAGGGAGACGGGAACTGGGACTGGAGAGGAGGCTCCTCAGCCCGCGGAAAGGACCCGGGATCGGAGGACACCGCAACCTAACTCTCCGGGCCGCCCAGAGCTAGGAGACCACCCGACTGGGACCCGCACCCAAGCGGGCGGGCCCGAGGGGCGGTACCTCGTCGCTGTGGCGGTGATAATCCTCCATGGTGGTTCCGACTCTTCCCCGGGGGCGGAGCGAGGCGCGGCTTGACAACCGTGGCAGCGCACTGGCCTCCGGGGAGGCCCCGCCCTCTTTTATAAAACCGGGCCTTTCCCTACGCAGGCCCCGCCTTTCTGTCGTATAGGTTCCACCTTCCAGGGGACGCGAGGGGGTGGGGGGAGACGGAGAACGCGGTGGGGCGCAGGGAGGGGGGAAGAACTCAGAGTGACGCGAGGACTCTTGCCAAGTGGTGGAGGCCTCCAGGGCCTTGATTGCTCTTCAGATCAGCCACTTGCCTCAGACCAGGTCCTTGGTGCCTCCTTAGTGCTTCCTTTCTGAAAATAAAGGATGGATGTTAAGTAGCTGGGAATGGTGCCAGTGAGGATCAGCTGGGTTGACAGTGTCAGCCGGTGTAGGTTCTGCACAACTTGTTTAGAGCTCACTGCTGTAGTTGTTTGCACATAATTTGTTCATTGACCATCATCCAGCAAATGAGTGTAGTTAATGAAATCATTGAACAACCAACTTTGATTTGTCCACTTACTAGTTATGTTATTTGGAAAGATTTAACCCCACACAACTTCAGTTTTCCCATATGAAAACATAATCATCCCTATTTCATGACTAGCTATAAGGGTCAAAGAAGAGGCTGCATGCACAACTCCTAAAGTAGATGCTCCTACACACTCCACTTCCTCCAAGACTATGTATAAAGAAATATATGACTTATAAGAGACAAATGTAACTGTTCCAAATTAAATTATAAACCTTAGCAAAAACACATCTGCATTTACTTAAAAACAACTAAATTCCAGATGATCCTGAGGATTTCCTCAAAATCTCAACAATCCAGAAGGTTTCCTTCTTCCCTCACTCCTTTTTTTCAAGATGCAACTCAGGTTACAGAGAATTTAAGTAACTTGCCCAAGGTCACATATCCAGTAAGTGGTAAAAAAAAAAAAAGTGTGCAAACTCAAGTACTATAGTCTGATAGCTGAGCCCAAGTTCTTAACCATTGTGTGAGTTTCCTATTGCTTCTTTAACAAATTACCACAAATTTAGTGACCTAGAGAAGCATGAACTTGCTATCATATAGTGTGGAGGTCAGATGTCAAAAATGGGTCCATAGGGCTGTGTTCCTTCTAGAGGCTGTAGGGAATACCCTTTTTCTTTGTTCTTTACAATGTCTAGAAACTGTCTGCACTCCTTGAATCGTGATCCCTTTCTTCCAACTTCAAAGCTGCACCTTCTGTCCTCTCTGTATGATTCCTAACCCCACCTGTAAAGTGCTTTTTGCCATGTAAGGCAACATATTTACAGATTCTGGGGCTTTAAATGTGGACATTTTTTGGGGGGAGAAAAGGAGCAACATTTGGCCTGCTGCAAACACTTTTTAATTTTGTTCCTGAAAATCAGTCAGAAAGCTCATTAGTCTTCTAGTCAAACTCCTATTTTACAAGTAAAACAGGAACTAAAAGAGGTGAAGGGCCAGGGGCATGACCCAAATGGTAGAGTGTTTGCCTAGCAAGTTCAACAATTTCAAGGCCCTGCATTCAAACCCTAGTACTGAAGAGGGGGAAAAAAAGAAGAAACAAAGAAAAGAAAAGAAAAAGAGGTGAAGTAACTTGTGAAAGGCACGTAGAAGTTAACCGAACCCTTGGGCTTCTGAATCTCAGGCCCCTCCATTCTTAGCTCTCATTTTATGATTTTATGATTAGAACCAAACATGGTGGTTTACTTGATAATGTGTATTTCGCTACTGGTTCTCTTAAGTAAGTTGTGAATCATGCATGGTTACTACACAAAAGTTGTGATTGCAATTCATACAAAAAGCATATCCTCTCCCAAGATATTTTTTAATCAAAGCTGCTATTCCAACAGTCTCTTTATGAGGAGGCTTAATGATGGCTTTGTAAATTTCAGCCTTGTATCTATACAGAATTGTTTCTATGTCTAGGTGGGTCAGACCCTGAAGATAGTCAATGTTAAAGTTGCAAGGAGCACACTGTTAGATCCCAAGTTTATGTTTGTGGTAACTCATGATAAATATAAAGTGAGGTGATGAAGTGTACCAGTTACTATTTCTGTATGTTAAATTACCCCACAATTTAGCAACTTATTTATTTTATTGTATTATGTTCATGGATTCTATTGGTTAGAAATTTGAATAGGGCCTAAAAGAGATAATTTGTCTCTGTTCCGTGATATCTGGGACCTCAACTGGGAAGACTCAGAGACTGGGGGTGGAAATCTTTATCAGGGTGGTAGGAGATAGAATCATCTGAAGATTTGTTCATTCACATATCTGGCATCTGGATCATGATGAATCAGATGTTAATACTGTCAACTACAAGTTTGTTTGTAGAATCCTTTGGCTGAGACTAACAGAAGATCCAAATAGGAGAAACTGAAATTATAAGATCATTTAATTTTGTTGTATAGTCAGAAATACAAAGGCAAAGCTATCCCAGGTTAGTTTAGTTGCTCAACAAATTTTTAGGGGGCCTCTGTGATTCCCATCTTTCTATACCCCTATCCTCAGAACATCAACATTTAGTCTCATAGTCACACAAGACTGCAGCATTTCTAGTATCACAGGAACAAAAATACCACATCTAGTGAAGAAGATGAATGTTGCCTTGGGTTGATCAACTTTTCTTAAGTAGGTAAATCTTTCTTTCAAGACAACAGGAGTCTTTTCATTTCCCATTGGCTAAAATTATGCCATGTGATTCCCCTTTTGGGAAAACATGTTCTGGTGTTTTCCTCTTTTATTTTGAAAAGCAAATTCTGCTAGCAAAGAGAAATAATTATGCTGGTAGGTCAGTCCTTCCCACATTTTTCAAATTATAGCCTATAGAGAAATTAATATTTACAGGGTATTTTGAGGCAAACTACAGGGATTTTGTGGATATCTTTATAAGTTTTGGCTAAAAATGTTTTCTTTATATAATTATAAGGAAAAAATAAAATAGAAAAGCTGTTAAAATTAAATTTGTAAGCCTGGCACCAATGGCTCACGCCTGCAATCCTAGTTACTCAGGAGGCAGAGATCAGGAGGATCACAGTTTGAAGCAGCCTGGGCAAACAGTTCAAGAGACCCTATCTCAAAAAAAGTCCGTCACACAAAAAAAGGGCTGGTGGAGTGGCTCAAGGTGTAGGCCCTAAGTTCAAATCCCAGTACCAAAAAAAAATTTAATTTGTAAAAACTTCCAAAAGTATTTTTCAAATGTCTTAGTGAAATCTTCCATCTTGCTTTCATGAATATAAAATTTTATATCTGGCTGTATGTTTTAAATAGCTATAAGCAACCTGTTCATGAGGAATTTTTTGTTTTATTTTGTTTTTGAGACAGTCTTACTATACAACCTAGGATGGCCTTGAAGTTGTGATTCCTTTTCCTGCCTCAGCCTCCCAAATGATGGGATCAGAGTTATGTGCCATTCTTACTGGAGCAAGAATTTTTAGTAATTATTTTCACCAAATTTTAATAGATTGTATTGCTGAAAAAATCTTCCTCATAGAAGTAGCTGATAAAACATTTGTCATTTTATAAACCATTCAAAATATATTCAAGAGTTTCTTTATAATGGCGGACTAAGTGATTAGGACCATCCCTGTCACTGACAATTAGAAAGATTGGAAAAAATATAATAGAAATAATAGAAATTGCTCAAGGAACTAGAGCTTTAAAAAGGTAAAGAAGTAATGGATGTAAAACCTGGGAGAAAAATGAAACCTAGATGACTGAACATGGCATTTGGAACAACTTTTTACCTGGAGGTGAGATGCTAAGCTTTTTGCTTATGGGCCAAGGGACAGATAATCCAATTCTCTGGCCTGCTGAGGAGGGTGGTTCCAGTAAACAATCGCACTTTGAGTATAAATCCCAAGGGTTAAGGCTAAAACTTGATCATGTAGGTACTGAAGTTCAGTTTTAAGTTACTTCAATCTCTTTAATTGAATTAAAGAGATGTGGCATTGGTAATGCCTCTAGCCAGATTGCAGAAACAAATATAAATTCTTTCTGGAGGAAGAAAACATACGTCTTAAATTAGATGTATAATTTTCACATACATCAAATGCACAATAAAACACAACTAAGCAATGAGACAAAACAACATTATCAGAACCAACAGACCATGAGAACAACCCAACTAAAGATCTAGAGAATGGAGTTATAGGAAATAGACTTTAAAATAACTATACTTACTATATTCAAAGACATAAAAATGGTAAAATAATATCTGAAGATCTTTGAAAATTAATGAAAGAACTTTATTAATCAGACTCTATGGGAAGTTGATGAAACCTCCCAAAATATAATATTCAAGAGAAATTTATTTACTGTGGTGTTGGGGTGGTATAGAAGATCTACAAGGGATAGTTCAGGAACCTGACATAGTTTATCACTTTTCTGCCTCAATACCCATCCTACTGCCCGACTATTCCATGTTACTCAATCCTTCTATTAACTTCACCAATTTATAAGAAGGATGCTGGCAGTAGCTATTTTTTTTTTACTTCAGAAGGTTGTCTAACAAACTTACACCCACGTTTAAATGATACACTAACTGATAGGCCTCCTGTATATGTCAAGCAGTACAGTTTAGGATCCACATCTACGACATTTCTAAGGACCCTTTGATTACAGGTCCAATTAATGTCATTAACATAATGGATCAATGCGATGTTGTACAACTACAAAATACAAGGTGGTACTCCTTCAAACCAGCTGCGGAGACCTTCTTGTTCTCTGATTCATGTTCTTCATTTTATGTTCATAATGCTGAATTTATACTTTCCTTATGTGTGCTTTCTGAAGCTATAATAAAATACAAGGTGACTCCATAATCCTTATTAGAAGCCTGTTGTCATAGAGACTAAGTGCTACAACCACTCACCCTCCAGTGCCTGCAGTTCATTCTCTGGTGATAAGATGAGTAATTGTGGTGTTACTTCATGTAATTAATTACTTATGCACCATTTATTCCCAGCAAGAATATTATCCATGTTCTCCTA